AAGAAATCGAAAATAAAATACCAACCTACAAACAGAGGAAAAAATATGGCGGAAAACGTTTTTTATTAAATTCTTTTTTTTTTTTTTTTTTTTTCAACGCCATCTTTAGTTGGGGAATACTTTTCTTTTATTTTTATTTATTTAATGTCTGGGTTTGTTATTTTCTTTTTATAACGTTTTACCAAAAAAAAAGTATTTTTCTCTTTTTCGTTGCGTTTTACCGATGGTTGTTTGTATTTTTTTTTTCTGTCTTCCTTCCTTTATTTTGTTTCTGATTCTCGTTTACTGTCTCATTTTTTTTTATGATATCATGTGTAAATAAAATCAAGATATCGAATAAGAGACAGATAATCTCACATTATTATTCTTTCATTTAAAAGGGATCATAATTTTTTTGTCTCTTTTTTTTTCTTTTACTTGACCTTAATCACTGCACACACCTACCTTTTTTTTCGCTTTTCACTGAAAGCAGAAGGCATTAGAATGATGACAGTCAATTAAAGAATTTTGTCCATTGACGACGCTAACTAGAACGCGATTCCGTTATACTTTGATATTTCGTCATTCTTAGACCATTCCTCTCGATGTTCATGTCTATTTCATTCTTATTGGTCTTTGAATATTTTTTTTTGTGATGAGGATAGTCTTTTTTTTCTTTTTTTTTTTTCTTTTTTTTGCTCATTGTCTTTTATTTTCTTGGCAAAGCCGAAAGTTAAATTAGAAATTATGGTAAAGATGTGGAAAGAAACAGAGAAAAATATATTTCAAGAATGAACACGAACAAAACTACTAAGAAAAGAAGACACTGAAAGATATCATAAATAGCAACTGTTATCTTTTGGTCTCATTTAGCCGGCTAGAACTTTGATTTTTTTTTAAATTTATGATTGGTGTCTTTTATATTTTCATCCAAATGTATTTCATTCTTTACGTTATTAAATCTATTCGAATTTCTCTCTTTGAAAAGATAATTTTAGATGTAGGCGCGTAAATTGTGCTCATATGATTCGACGATTCACTTCTTTGTTTTCATTTACTTCAGCTACGTGATGTTCCTCCATCAGATTTTAAATCTTTTTTTTTTTTCTAATGCTTCGAAATAACTGGCAAGTTGGAAAATGAAGCCTGATACAAAGTTTTAGGTAGACTTAGCTCATTGTTTCGGAGCTGGTCAAGTTTTGACAAACAAAATCACGCCAGTCGAGTGTAATGTTACCGAATCATGTTACATTATGCATATCTATATACGAATACATTCGCTTATGTAGAGGGGTTTTATTATTTATTACGATGTGGGTTCGCCTTTGGCATCAATCAAAACTTTAATACATACAGGTTTCCGATCGGTTCTTAACAGACTATTTTCAAGTAAAATGTGCTGGAGGTCTTTCAACAACGATGAAGGAGGGGACGTTGTCTTAACATGTTGCTCTAAAATATACCGTAGACGTTAGATTATATTGATTATATTCCTCTTAGTATAAAATTTCCCACGCCCACTTTCTTCATTATATGCACTAGAATTTGAAGTACCTCATTTTATGCACTAGAATTCGAACTACCTCACTATATTCTCTAGAATTTGAACTGCCTCACTATATGCACTAGAATTTGAACTGCCTCACTATATGCACTAGTATTTGAAATGCCTCACTATATGCACTAGTATTTGAACTACCTCACTATATGCACTAGTATTTGAACTGCCTCACTATATGCACTAGTATTTGAAATGCCTCACTATATGCACTAGTATTTGAACTAGTATTTGAACTGCCTCACTATATGCACTAGAATTTGAACTGCCTCAATATATGCACTAGAAGTTGAACTACCCCACTATATGCACTAGAATTTGGACTACCCCACTATATGCACTAAAATTTGAACTACGTTACTATATGCACTAGAATTTGAACTACCCCACTACATGCACTAGAAATTGAACTGCCTCACTATATGCACTAGATTTTGAACTACCTCACTATATGCACTAGTATTTGAACTGCCTCACTATATGCACTAGAATTTGAACTGCCTCACTATATGCACTAGAAGCTGGCCTGCCTCTAATTGAAAGATAGATTTATCGAACACTTGGTCCTGACAAGCGTATTTATGCGAAAATCTGAGTCGGTCAATCAGATATATCCTCATAACGTCTATTGACTTTCTAAATATATATATATATATATATATATATATATATATATATATATATATATATATATATATAGAGAGAGAGAGAGAGAGAGAGAGAGATGTAGTCAGCTTATGGAAAGCAATACTGCATCGTGACTGTCAGTTCTAGAACGATAAGAAGATACATGGTCTGATAATCGCTTTAGACATGAATGTAACAATCAGTATAAAGTGATGATTTTTCTAACCCCGCTTTTTACATATCTCGATTTTTTCCCAACGGCGAATGTAAGAGAATAGACCAGAAATTTAACACTGCCCGCCGATCCCACTTTCCGCGTCGATAACCTTTACATTACACACGCATAAATAAAAATTACTTGCCCTTATATCAATCTTCTTCGAAGTAAATGTAATCTCCTTGTGAGTAAAACACATGTTTCTCCTTGGTATGACGATAAACTACATCCGGCAGCTAGGCCTCTCATTGCGAACCACTTCTTAATGTTGTGATGTTGTTCTGACCCGGGTGGCAGCACCTGTTAGGCTCTCAGCTATGGGAAAATAAGGAAGCCACAAACAAACTGGGGTCCAAAAAAAAAGCTATGAAAGTGTAGCAATACATTTTTATAGTGAGTCTCCTAGCAATACATTTTCACAGTAAAAAATTACCAGCAAAACATTTTGTAAGGAAATAAAAAGAAAATTAACAGCTATAGATTTTTGTAAAAGAAATTACTAATGCTCACAAGAAAATTCAATTTTGGCATTAAATGACCCATAAGCAGTTGATGTGCCGTTAAACAACCAAAATTAACACATATTACTCTCCTAAGGTAACAGTAACTACTAGAAGGAATTCAGCAAAAAGTACATTGTGTGTATGTCTGTATGTGCATGTGTGTCTGTGTACTCGCCTTTAAGACTACAAATAAGTTATCTAGGCAGCGGAAGTATCGTATAACTAAACTTTTATATCTGAGAACAACAGAACATTGAAAAAAAAAGTTTATTGGCTTAATCCTAAAAATTCTTTAAAATAAAATGTTCAAAGAAATATGAGCCTATCAGAAAAGGATAAAAATCCTCATTTCATTCATTCTTAATTTTCAATCATTTCTTGTGAAGAAAAAATGTTCTTTTAAGACAGAACTTACCCGATCTGAACCTTTCACAAAATCGAAAATATTCTCTCAAATTGGAAAAAAAAAACCACCAGGAGGGCAACACTCTACCCCTTTTTGGCCTCACGTTTCCCACTGACATGAATTGGAAACGACTATTTTGAATCAATTGTTACGTCTACTCCTAGGCTTACCGTGTTGTGCGAGAAAATTTTTCTCGTTAGAATCCATCTTGCGCATTTTAAAATGTACTATTCGTCCGCGTAGTGAATAAGGTTGCCATATCTTGTCTGGTACTCCTACTGTGCATCAGGAGATTCTTGACGAAATCCAGACAAGGGTCTGTTATATAATCGATCCTGATCTGGCATCTCAACATTCTCACGATATGGCTTCCCTTTGTCTTTTCTACAAATATTTTCTAAGGCAACTGTTCTGTTGAGCTTTTTTCCTTAGTGTCTCGACTCCATGAATTTAAAGCATGCAACTAGATTGGCAACTGGCTCCCACAGTTTTACTGTTGAACTAGCGAGATGCAACTGCCACTTCTATTCTAACAGTTTTTTTCACGCACTTCTCACCTGTTAAAATCCCTTCCGATTTCTTGCTTCCCTGGCAACTACAATATTCAAACATTTAAATACAACGCTAATCGTGACCTTCTGTCTTCATGAACTTTGTTCTTTTATTGTCCTTTCTTCACTTCTTCTCACTAACGTCTTCTCATTCACATTCACTCCGTGTAACGTCTTGCGGCCTAGTGGCATTATTGCCTTGAAATGATTAAAAACAATAAACAACGAAAAAGCAAATTCGCGTGGTATTCCTTCGATATAAACCATTCAGAAAGAAAAGATTCTTAGTACCTTGAGAATCTCATTATGCACATCGACACAAAAATTAAACCAATTCAGACAGATGTACAAAATGCTACCTTTTCTTTTACCGATTTACACTAGATTAACCTTATCTAAGAAGCTTATGTGAATGAATAATACAGCAGGGACAAACATTGGATTAAAGAGGGGGAAGATGTGGAGAGCTATAATCGCCAACGCTCTGAGACACAGCACAGAAAAGTTCTTCTTTCAATCAACGTTAGAATTGAATATCCTCTGAATATGTTTTTAGGTGAGGCGTTGTAACCATTGCGCTCTATCTTATTCGGACTTTTTGTTTTCTCTTTTTATCAAAGCATTACTGTCGATGTACACTCTGGCCTTTGTTCTTTGTCTAAGACAATGCATAGTGACCAAAATATTCTGATAAAAACGAAAACTAGAAAATTAGTCTGAATAAAAAGAAAAAAACAATGAATATGTTCATATTATTCAGTACCTTCAGTAGCGCACAGACAAAAGAATTTATATATATATATATATATATATATATATATATATATATATATATATATATATATATATATATATATATATAGCACAAACATATATATATATATATATATATATATATATATATATATATATATATATATATATATATATATATATATATATATATATATATCGGGGAGTAGAGAGAGAGAGAGAGACGTAAGTACATTAATTCCGCAGACTAATGAGAAAAATGCGTATGAGCATTATACAACGCATCTTTATTTTGCAAGATAATCTCCTGCACTTAATCCAGTGGGTAATATAAATCACAAATATCGAAACTTCAAATCAAAATTCAACTGGATTCTATATCAGTCGGGCATTTTCCCAACGATAACTAGATAGATAGATAGATAGATAGATAGATAGATAGATAGATATGAACAGATAGACAGACAGATAGATAGATAGATAGATAGATAGATAGATAGATAGATATGAACAGATAGACAGACAGACAGATAGATAGATAGATAGATAGATAGATAGATAGATAGATAGATAGATAATGAAAAAACTGTGATAGATAGATAGATAGATAGATAGATAGATAGATAGATAGATAGATAATGAAAAAAACTGTGATAGATCTGAAGAGAACAAGATAGATAGATAGATAGATAGATAGATAGATAATGAAAAAGTGTGATAGATACGAAAAGAACAATGTAGATAATGAAAGACTGAGATAGATGAAGAAAACAAGAACTAGTTTTCGTGGGGACAATGGCTCTTGCAGTCAACAAGTAACTTGCAATTTCCAATGCAGATATGGCAAACCTATTTGTTCTGTACAGATCCCTTTTGTGAATTCTGTTTTTTTATGACTTTTCATGTGTCAGCTGAGACCGAAGGGGTTTCTGTATGTTTTTCTAACTCACGTCAAATGTTGTCATTCCAGGTTCATTAATGATTGTATAAGGCGAAAGGCCTACCAATATTATTGTCGTTGTAAGTAACGAAATGGGGAGGTATATACTGTCATATTTCATGCTGGATCAATGATTTCCCCTTTCCGCGCTGCACGATTGACATTTGTCCAATCCATTGCATGTTCTTGGAAGTACTTAGTGACTTCATGAATTGTACGCCTCCGTTTATTTCGATCACACGCAGCAGTAGATATTCTGCTATCTTCGATGTTTTTAATTATTGCTTTACTGGAAAGGGGAGTATTTTCAGATAGATAGATAGATAGATAGATAGATAGATCCACAGCCAGATTGTTATGCTTTATCACAGCTCTTCAATGTGGCTAGACGTCCGATCGCTTCAAGGCGGGATCGAAACCCTACCGATTTGGCACGAGTCAGAGATCCTACCCCTAGGCAGAGAGAAAGGAAAATTATAATGTTTTCTATACGAAATACGCCAGTGGCCCAGAGAGCTCAATTCAGTTGAAGAGTAATGTGTTCATAGCAGTAGGAGCCACTGTTTTAAAAATTACCCTTTTCTTCAGAGAGCTCAACTGGATTTCCCGAGAGCATATATACTGTTATCTGCAGACAGGCTGTTTCTCTGTATATATATATATATATATATATATATATATATATATATATGTGTGTGTGTGTGTGTGTGTGTGTGTGTGTGTGTGGTTTAGTTGTAGTTCCTCGTTTTCCCCACTCTGTTTATTACCGCAAATTTCGTTAACAATTTAATAGGTTGCCAACGATTCTTCTGATGAATTGTTGGCCGAAAATAGTTTATCTTTTGGCGGAGAAAATATGTCTTTATCTGTTCAAAAAAAAGACTGACCACAATTTTTATATAAAAATGCTACTCTGATTAAAGGAGAAAAGAATTCACTACGACGAAAATATCAAGAGAGTGACTTAATCGCAATGTCGTCCACAGTAACTTTGCGTCTTGGCTCTTACAACATTTCACCATTCCTGGAATAACTTCTATTATCACAGTGTTGGATATCTACTGACAAAAGTAATGGAAAGAAAAAGAAAAATAATCTAAATGAAATCGGATCGTGAAAAAAAAAATTAATTCCCAGCATGCCTCGTTTCTGCGCATGTGTATTCGCACCAACGTAACAAATTTATTCCGTTGAAAACCTAAAGGCTGAAACACGTCACAAGAAAACTCTTTCCACTTTGTCATACATTTTCCCTAATATTTTTCTTGATATATAAAAAAACATATATGTTTTTATCTCATATAACATGAGGAACTCGGCCGATGAGTTCGTCTGCAGGTTACGGCCAGATATAAAAAATGGCACCAAATGGTCGCCAGTAGAAGCCACCCAAGTAGCAGAATCCAGCCTACGAACTAAGGAGAATATGGGGTTAATCCAAACTAGTGGAGCTGATCTGGGCAGCACGAGTAACCAGTTTTTCTCGAAACATTATCCAAAGAGTAAACGAAACATGATGATTGATGAAATCATGAATTTCGAGGAAGAGCAACAAATAGCTACTGTTGTTTCTCTGTCCAAACACTGTACTTGGACGACATGGAGTGATATTGATCCAACGAGGCTATCATGGAATATTCTGATTGCAATGAAGCCATTGGTAATATCATTCCACCTGCCATCTACCTATGATCTCCTACCAACCTCAAGCTGTGGGGTCACGCTGACACTGATGTTTGCGTATTATGTCAAAGTGATCGTGGCACTTTACGTCATGTGCTCTCTGCATGCACACAATCACTGCAGATGTACACGTGGTGTGATAACAAAGTGCTGTAAATGGTCATGGCCTTAGTACACAGTACAAATCAGCCAACAAACCGCCTGTAAGGGCCAGAGATCCTAAGATCCGTCCTGTGTGAAAGACCCAAATAACCCCCAACATGACACTACTGAGTGAAGCCCGTGATTGGAGGGTGTTAACTGATCTTAGAACACTTCTGCAATTTTCGGTACACATCATCTAGACACAGGAACGCCTTGGCATTGTAGCGTGGTCTGATTCAAAGAAGTGTGTCCTTCTAGTAGAATTAACGGTACCATGAGAGGAGACCAGGGAGAGAGGCGCACGATCGAAAGAAAAACCGCTACAAAACGCTGCGTTTGCGACTGCGTGGAAAAAGGATGGACTTATCATGTGCTACCTATTGATGTCGGGTGCTGTGTATTCCTTGGACGGTCAATCGTTTCTTTCCTTTTGAAGGAGGGCATCAGTGATTGGAACCTAAAGTGGGCTTCACATCGTCTCCAGATCACAGCTCAACAGGCATCAAGTTGGATTTGGTCATGATCCAAAATAAAGTCAAATAAAATCATGCTTGTAACACAATACTTCCGATGTGAAACACATCTGTTTACCTTCCACTCTGTCATTGATAATGGTCACTATAAGTGCATTGTGTATTTTAACACAACATAGAAAATTTCAGTTGCAGTTGTAAAAAGAAATCACAAGAGACTGACATGTATACAAAAACAATACCCTGTCCAGTGGCAAAAGCTGCTGATGGCACCAAGGGTGGCAGTTCCGCCTTAGCCACCGAAACTATGTTACTTCCCTTGTTTGGAGGTTGACAAGAGCAGGGTATTGCACGTGCTTTCGCACGTTGTAGGTAGAGAATTAAATATATACCCGTGTGTGTGTGTGTGTGTGTGTGTGTGTGTGTGTGTGTGTGTGTGTGTGTGTGTGTGTGTGTGTGTGTGTGTGTGTGTGAGCGTGTCTGTGTTTGTGTACAGACATTATTTCTTTATATAACCCGTAAAATGTTTTATGAATAAATACTCAAATACCCACTCATTTTTATGATTACAGTGCAGCATAAGACATTTTGCTTATATGGTAAGATGAAACAGTGAACATGGCTGAATTTAACGCCGACTGCTTTTAAGCCTGTTTATTTTGGACAGGTTTTTCTTAGTTATTTTTATTTGTGAAAGCAAGTTTGATCTCTTTGTTCAATTGTCGTTTACTCATCTCCAGACTAGTTTCGTAATTAGTTTCAAGCTGTATTTCTTAAATGAAAACTAATGGCTTTCTTTCAGGGTCAAATTCTAACTCAAATATTTCATCACCAAACAGACTGTCGGGTTATCCCACTTTTTATGTTTTATGACATTTCTCTGAGCAATGGGAATACAATATGACTGTGTCAACATGCCTACAAGCAACAAGAAATAATCTCTGACCTAATCAAATGAAAGAGGGTAAGTTTCGGTTGCTTAAGTTAACGAGATATGAACATGATCAAAGATTTTGCATTAATGTGGGTGTCTCTCAGGACTCTATACTTGAACCTATGTTCTTCCGAATTTTGATCAACGACCTTCTCAGTGTCATCAATTCTCAATTCAGCATCTATGCTGATGGCACAACTATTTACTCCTTAATAAGTTTGATCGGTTCGATAAGGTCAAATTGTCAAAACGACCGACAATAAGTATTTAATTGGTGCAAGAAATGACTTGTTAATTTTAACACCTCCAAAACAAAACTGCTCTATTTCAATCCTCCAAGAGAACCTTTCTTGCCATCCATCAATACGGCTGGTTCCAACTCATGAAGTGAAAAGGTTATATTGAATCAGTTGCTAGGTTTGCTTGCAAGGAAAGTTGGTTCACTGTGTCCTGCTAGACAATTTTTCTTGCCAGAATCTATCTTACAACTTTATAAGTCATCCATTCGGATATTGAACATTACTGTCACATCTGGTCTAGTGCTTCTGCTATGTATTTAGAGATCCTTGATAAAATCCAAAGAAGAATCTGCAATGTTATCCGTCATGATCTGGCATCTTGGTTTCATTCTCTTTCCCGCCACCGAAACGTAGCTCCCCTGAACTTTTTCTAAAATATATTTTCATGGTAATTTTTCTGGTGAGCTTTTCCCTTTGGCACGTCGACGTTATGAATTTAAGCGAAGTATTAGATTGGCAGCTAGGTCTCACCATTTTACTGTTGATTATGCTAAATGTAACCGTAAGTTCTATGCTAGCGGTTTCTTCTCTCGCACTTCTCTCTTGTGGATCACTCTTCTGGCTTACTTTATAATCAATTTTGATTTTCAAAGATTTTGAATGCGCTGTCAATCGTAATCTTCTACCTTCTTAACTTATGTTCTTTTATGGTTTTCTCACCTTACTAATTTGATAATCCTTATCTAATATCCAAAGTGAATAGTCGCTCCCTTTGCATCTCAATGACGTTATTGCCTTGCTTAGTGTGATATCATTTAAAGAAATCCCTGTCGGTGTATTTAATGCTCGCTATGTCTTATCAATGACATTTCGGAGATAAATATCAGTTGTCACCTAGGGAAGGTTAGTGAATAGAATAAGGTTGGTAATGAACGATAATACTTAGGACAAGAACAACACATATAAGATTCGCCAGCGGCACGTAGAAGTAGTAGTCAACTGAATTCCACAATGAATCTACCAACCGCCCCACACGATCAGTTGTGGCACAAGGCCGAATTTAATGTGGGGTATCCGAACCCGTTGTCTCGGAAAAAAAATTCCCGTAGACCCTGCATAAAACGGTGCCGGGTAGCTGTTTCCCGAGACGAGAGTCTGCCTTTCGACATAGCTTCGTCTGGGAATCCTCCCTGCCCAGACGCAGAGTTTAACCAGCACAGCTGGAGATGAATCTCCAACTGCAGGATATCTACCCACCGCCACCCCCCGCAGTCAGATGTGGCAGAAGGCCGAATTTAATGTGAGGTATCCGAGCCCGTAGGCTCGGCCAAAAATCCCCGTAGACCTCCGCTTAAAACGATGTCGGGTAGCTGTTTCTCCGAGACGAGACTCTGCCCTTATCATATCCTCGTTTGGAGAACCTCTCTGCCCAGACCGAACATGTGAGCAAGGATGACACATATAATTAACATTAAGAAGAGAGAGTTGAAATTTCTCTGGCCAATAGTGAGGAAATAAGGCTTGGGAAATTTGATATTCACAAGACAGATTGAAAGCAAGAGGGACAGAGAAAACTAACGCAGCAAAACTACGTAGCAAGCTTGATTAAATGGATGGCCGAACAAGGTTTTGGAGAGATAACAAAATAACAGAATTTTTCAAGAAGATACAAAGAACAGAGGATTGTGGAGAGCAGTGATCGCCAACGTCCTGAAGATGTGATGTTGTGGTTAAATCTAGACAAGTCGTTGTTTGTTTTGTAATAATTTATTTTATTGATATGTAATGGTTAAGGACTCAGAAGGAAAGTTTTGCGCAAACTTTGCATTTGTGCTTTTTTTCGTAATTGTACAAATGCAAAGTTTGCGCTAGAATTTCCTTTGTGCGTCTATCAAGTCAAGATAACAATTTCTGATAAAAAGATTGCCATCGAAAAATGGAAAAAAAAAAATTACAGTTTGGGAAAATACATGAATTTGGAAAAAGAGTAAAAGATAAAGCAATAAAAACAAAGACGCAACCAGCTTTGAAAAAAAAAAAAAAAAAAAAAGAAAATACGTACCTTTACCAGACTCACAATAGGGAAACATTTTTGAAAACTCCATTTTATAATCTCACTATTCGCGTTTGGGAAAATATCTTTAAATTCTTTTTCGTTATTGGCTGTTCAATCGCAGGATAATTTTCACTTAAACTTCAAAATTCTTTAGTCTCTCTGCAGCTGGCTGATAACTGGCGTCTTCCTGATTTTCTCTTCTTGATGTCGAAAGCATTCTTGCTCCTTGATTTGCTGTTAAAATGTCCTATCATCGCCTCTACTGAGATGGGCTCTATATATTTAGAAAAATAGGCTAAAACGGCCACCCATTCTGCTTGTTGTTAGAGCTTGAGACCACGTTTCTCAGTAGAAAGTGGTCAGGATATACGAAAAAATAACTTTCCATAAACTGGAAATGGATCCTTCCCAAATTTTGGCGGGTTTTAACCTCTGAGTCGAAAATGATATATAGGTGTAACAATTTTTTACACAAACCGTTTGGCCTTCATAAAATGCACTTCCCTCAAAAGATCGCGTATTTAAAAAAAACAACTTTGACAATTAAACATTTATTCAATGCTAACATATTTAAAATACCAAAAATATTTTTATAGATATCAGTGTCTTAGCTTTCAAACTACAGCTGTTTGAAAAAAAAACCAACAAAACTTGAAGTCTGAAGATTCAAATTTAATGTCGATGTTCAGTATCACACGCAGACAGTTGATCAGTTCACAGAAGTAAATTACGCTGCAATCACCGTTTTCATTTCAGACTGTATTGTTGTGAGGCTGTGCAATTTCAGAGAAACACATCAGGATTTCAATTACGATCATTTCAAAACAAATGCTTCCATCTCGAGTTTAACAGGCGTCTACAGACTTTATTTTTATTTGTCTTTTTATTAAAGCTAAGTAAAATTGAACGGCCTCTTACGCCAAATTGTCCATTTCTCAAGTACAGTCGCATGCGCACGCGCAGAAAAAGAATGAATTCAGAAGAAAAACCCAACATGGCGCTCCCAACCCATTCCGCCCAGTAAATGCAGAAACTAGACAACGAAATACGCCACAGAAATGACAAGGATGATTATTTCGACAGAACAAATAATGAAAAGAAAAGAATTCTTTAAAGTTTAGTGAATGGCTACATTTTTGAGTAAATTAGCAAATGCGAAATCCTGTCAGCATTTCTCCGGGAATTATGGATTGAAATGTGGACGACGAACAAAAATAAAAAAGGTGGGAGGTTAAAGTATTTTAAAAATGAAAAGAAAATATGTGATGCAAAATAGTTTTATGTAATTTGTTTTGAACTTTGTTCTACCTTTCCGTTTTTATAAACATTCTTTTTTCATGTTTGCCATTTTTACTTTTTCTTATTCTGTGGACTGTCTATTTATTTACTATAATCACTTAAGCTGTTTCTGTTAATCCAACTCTCTCTCTCTCTCTCTCTCTCTCTCTCTCTCTCTCTCTCTCTCTCTCTCTCTGAGGCAACTGCTTGTAAACATTATTACCGAGGTTTCAAAACCCACGTTTCAAGCACAGTTTCACGATTATAGCGTTAACGTTATCGGCGCCGAGCTCAACTATTAGTCAAGTGTGCTGCGTTTACTTTGGTCTAACACCTTTGGGAAATGGGTGAATCCAGCTTTCTAATCAGGGTCAAATAACAATGGTTGGTAACACGTCAAAAAGGAGAACTCGGCATCCAAAACCAGTGTTATCGGTCAACCTGTCATGCCAGACTGAATTTTCTCAAGAGAGAGGTGCTTGTATTTAGACAAAAATAGCGTCACTGAAGGCTCCAGTTATCTAAACGTTGTCTTACAACTGTTTCACTGGTGGATTAATTCATTTCTAAATATATATGTATACATATAATATGTACGCCTATTCATATAATATTTACACACACACACACACACACACACACACACACACACACACATACATTTTGTTTATATTGTACATGATGGTGTTGAAAAGAAAATAAATGGTTTTAAATATATAACGATCCTACACTAGGGGGAGCACATAAAATAGAATAACCCAATATACAGAAAGATATTTACAACAAAATCCTATATTATATATTTATCTTTAAATATGTAATATTAAAAATAATTTTTACTATATATATAAAATTTAATATTAAAATACACTATTAAGTTTAAAATAATGAAAAACAGACAAAAGCTTTGCAATTTAAGGTCATTATAATATATATATTTATTTTAGTTTGTGAAATAAATTTCAGATTATAATACATACGCATAAATTAGACCACTTAAAAAAAAAAAAAAAAAAAATATAAAAAATTCGGATCATAATTGTTGGTTATTTTCTGTGTATACCAATTATATACTTTGATATATATATATATATATATATATATTATATATATATATATATATATATATATATAGAAAACAGACCACTTTTTATTACAACAATTTATTTCACCAAAATTCTTGGATTTTGAAAGACTTCCAACAATGAAATGAGAGGAAAAAATGAGGAAAGGAAATAAAGTAAAAGGAAAAAAGAGAAACAAATGGAAAAATATGGCAGTATTAGGAATCCGTTTATCTCGCGAGATGAATGCAGCACGCTGGTCAAAATTCAGTCCTTTGATGGCAAAATTGTAATATTTTTACCGCTATGCAAGGGAGGTGAATCAGTTAATTTATAATATTTATGCTCTGTAAATTTACATTGAGCACTGTTTTGTAAAAATAAAAAAAATCAGAGAAATCCAATCATTTAGACAGGGGCGGTAGTATGTACATTTTTATTAACTATTATTGTATCAATTATGAGTTACGTTCGAAAAAGAGGTTAAGTTTAGGGAGGGTAGGGGTACATTTTTCAACAAATTTTGACATCCGTTAAACGCATGTCGTCTGTTTTTTTTTATCAACGTGAAAAAGGTTTTCGACATTTTTTTTTTCATTTAATTCGTACTTGTGTAGATAAAAATTACTTCTAAAAGGGGTGTTTGGGTCAGAATACGTTATATTGAACTACAATTTTAAAATATTATTTTTACTTTTAATTACTAATAGACTATATTTCTTTTTAAAACAAATAAATGTAATAGAATTAAATTATTTAAAAATTATTATTACATATCAAATATAAGTATGTATATTACCAGCTTTCATTTTTATCTTATTTTATTTTATTATATTTAGATATTATTCAAGGAAATTTTTTGACAATGTCGGCAAAGAATAGCTATTTCATTTCTTTGATTCAGTAAATTTTTATTTTTTATAAACTTAGTAATATATAGTTTCTCATGTATACACAAAGGAAATGTGTCATTTAATGACCTACATATTCTAGCTTTTCTTATTAATTTCCTTTTACTGTAGGTGTTTTATTAGTTTCTTTTAAGTGCCAGAAATATTTTGATAGGGACGTCTGATTTCGGTATTTCTTTGTCCTAAATGAATTTTGATGCTGACTGAATCTCTTTCTGAACTCATGGCTTGTGCAACCGATATAGATTTTTATGCTTTCGGGATTCTCAATAGATGAGATATTGCATTGGTATACTAATGATTCTGTGCGACATTTATTTTGTAAAGGACAGTTACGCGGATTTCTACAGTTACATCTCTTTTTATTTTCATATTATCTAAATTTCTTTGGTTTTGGTCTAAGTGTTTATTCACGATATTAGCATTATGTTTCTTCATAATTTTCTCAAAGTTTTCAGTACAGCTGTAACTTAATTTTAGTGTATTCATATTGAAAATAGTACTGAGCTTACTATCTTTAGGAAAACGCTTAACGATTAATGCAAGTAATTTTTGTTCTGATTTATTATTTACCATTTTGTTGTATGGGGTGTATACCAGATTATTTTTCTACTTCTGTTTTTTCTATGTTTTCCATTTTCCTTTTTTATATAAGTTAGTGGCTACAAAATCCCAAAATTATCTTTTACTCTTTTTTCGATAGATAAAGGTATATACTTAATCATAAATGCAGGATGATTAGATTTAGGGTGTATATATAAAGGATTGGTATTGTTTTTTTTATAAGGTATGTATACATTTTTCATTAAATCTAATGTTGTATCAAGGAAATTAACTTTTTAATTTAGTGCTTACCGTAATTTTTAAGTTCAGGCATTTAAATTTTAATATAATATCTTTCTAATTTTATCTATTACAATCTATTTTTATATATATATATATATATATATATATATATATATATATATATATATATATATAAAAGTTGCAAATTTAATAATTTTTTTTTTTTATGAAAGTATTTATTTATATTTGATATTTCAGATCGACCTCGATCTTTCTTCAAAAACAGTTATTTCTGAAGAAAGATCGAAGTCAATCTGAAATATCAAATATAAATAAATACTTTCATAAAAAATTATTATTTTTTAATTTGCAACTTTTTAGTTGTTTTTTCTATATATACATATTAAGAAAGTATACGTGGCTTTCATTATGCTCTCTCTCTCTCTCTCTCTATCTATATATATATATATATATATATATATATATATATATATATATATATAAGAATCTGGAGTAACATCTTGAAACCAGATCAAATTGGTGGAAAAAAGGGTGAAAAAGACGCTTGGTACCTGATTACTAGATGCTTTACGAAAATGGCGTCACAGAGGAAGGTTTGATGATTCGAGAAATTAAATGTACATCTTCAGATATTCATACTGAGAAATAGATTCGGTGTATATATCTATTTTTCCGTGCGCCCACGTCACTACCGTATGTGTGTGACACAAGGTCATTATGAAGTGGGCTTACCGACAGAACCATGGAAAAATTGCTTCTATTGGAGAAGCCTAACTTAATGACCCCAGCCACCTCCCGAAGAAGAGGTACAGCCATGAGGGGATGTCCACCCTCGGTCTTATTCTAATATTATTTTAAAACTATCCCAGTTAAAGTGACAGGACAAATTCTTTGTATATGCATATATCTTTCAAACATGTATGATCTTTCTACTTTTGGTGTCATGGAATGAAGGGTGAAATTGGTGTAACTGTTGGAAGGAATCTGTCAATAAGTCGTGTTTTTAGCACTTCGAGTCGTCCGTATTGTCAGGAAGCGGGTATCATAAGTTTATATTAGTGTATAGTAAAAAGTTTTGAACATCTATCAGCATCTCCTTTATCTTTATATACAGTCTACCAAAATATGTATACACACTTCAGGAAAAGGAAACTCTTGTCTTTCGTAGTTTTATCAAATTGAAATAACACTGTTTACTGTAGTACCATATTTTCTCGATAAATGGCATCACAATTATGGCTGTAGTATCAAAAACGCTAAAGGATGTTGTGTAGTGCAGAAAGCCGAATATATGCATGTGCAGTAATCCCAATGGACACTTTAGCCAACGTTGCCAAGGCAATAGTTCTCCGTAGTAATAAATGTCTGGAAGTTAAACTCCGCCATCTGCATTCGCTGGTTCCCAGACTTCATGAATTCAAGCGCCCCCCACCCCAGGCTGGCATCCCGCACTCACCCTTTCATTGTCGAAACTACTAAATGTAGCCGTCTCTTCTACTCCAATAGCTTCATGTCTCTGTGGCGGACATGAAACAGAACCTGGAACGAGCACAACTGGTCGCGACTTGCCTTGTCCCCGCCAAAAAAGAGCCCGTATTTGCTTAGCATGTAAAGCTACTGCAGTTGAAATGAGGGAGAGAAAAAAGCACTTACCGCTCTGCCGTAATCCATCCTCGGCCAGATAACGTAAAAGAATGAAGGGGGACTGGCATCGCATTTTTATGCAATAACGATGCAATGCATTATGGGACATGGACGCAATGAATTATGGGATCACAGGAAGACACAAGGGATTATGGGTACATGAACAACTATAAAAACAACTACTTTTTTCCAAGTCGGAGAGTTCTTCGAGGGACGTTCACGGTTGACGGCTAGAACGGGCTGTTAGTGTGATTTGGAGACAGAACTCAGGAAGGAACGACTCAAGTTTGAA